TCTGTAAATCCTCTGCCCAGTTTAACTAGCCCCAGAGCCACGGCAATAAAAAAAAATAAATTGTAAGGGAACGAGCATCTCCTTTTAATCCAGCTCTGCATTGCAGTTTCCCCATCTGCTCTCCCTCCTGGGAAGAGCTGTGTGTGGAGGGACAGAGCCCTGCTAAAAATCAGCAAAAACCAGCAGGGCTGTGGCGGCCTCCTGCGGCAAGGAGGAGGAAGGCAGGCAGCCACCAGCCCGGTCGCAGTTCTGCTTTGGTTCAGCCTCTGTAGTTCTGCTTTTGTGGCTTTTTGTTTTCTCCACGCTTTGAGCAGGGCGTTTCACACAGCCAGGAAAACAAGGCAGTCTCTGCGCAGGCAGGAAATTCCAGGGAGAAACCAAGAGCTCTGGGAGTTCTACCAACATCAGGGATCTCGCTCATCAATGGAGAAATTATACCCTGAAAATACATTCATTACAGCTGCACCTCAGCCCTTCTTGCTTTGGATAAACTGTTAATTTCTTCTGAATATTCTGTTTGAGTACCAAGTCTTAGTACTGCCGATTTAGGATAGGTCACACAACCTGAAGACGAATACTTTCTTGTTAAAAGACGTGTGCATATTCATTAATGCTTCCCAGTTCCTTATTCTGTCTTATCAACCGTTTAGAATGTGCAGTAAGAAACAAAATATTGCCCAGTCTGGGGAATCCTCTCATCAGCTTGCCTAAAACCTTTAAAACTAACTACATGCCGTTACATACGAAACCCCCACTTCACCTCTCTTACCTAATATGAAGCCTTAAAACCCAGTATTTAATGTGATTTGATGGAAATCCAGGAGGAAAGCTAGAAATTTAACTCCAGGACTAGAAGAAACGTTAACCTGGTTATCATCAGAAGAACAAAGTGCCGTATCTTATAGCAAATTATCACTCGGCACAGGACAACGCCACACGGTACAGAAACTTGCCACAGGTGGGATACCTGTTACTACAAATAAAACACAGCTCGTTTGCTGCACCCAGTTCAGCAGCAGATACCTGTCAACTGCAAAGGCTTTTTATACTCCATAACTCGTTTATCTTTCATTAATCACCCACAATTTTTTGCAAAAGTCTCCTACAAAACGCACCGGGCGGAAGAAATCATTAATTAGAAAAAGTGTCCTTAGCACGTTACAGAAAGGTATTTCAGGATAAAGGCCACGGTTAAGATAATTTTTAAAATTAAGTCTAAATTATCAGCTATTTACTGTTTCAACAGAGACCAAATGGAAAATTACGATTATTAACCAAGTGAAAAAAGCAGATAAAGCCCTTTTACAATGAAGGCTCTCATTTCAATCTGGACAGTTCCTCTGCTTCTGTATTTTACAGGCAGAGATAACAGCGTTTTCATTTCCCCCATTCAATTCAGATACACATACACAGACAGGGCACGGTATCCTCCACATCTGTCATCTGCCTCGTTCTGTAATGAAACTAATAAGCCTGATTATTGGTCAGATGCTGTCTAGAACCAGGCTAAGCAGGATGATTTTGTCAGTGTTTTCAAAACCTGACCTGTAATATCATATATGTGCACATTCAGTCTTATAGCACTGCCAGAACTGGGCCATCAATCGTCAGACCGGATAAAGACCAAACAGTATACTTAGAAAAAGGAAGAAAAAAATAAATACAACATGTACCCAATCGAAAAAGCTGGTATTTACTTAGACAAGCATTACTGTGCTTAGGAATTAAGGATCATGATTTCTAAAAATAAATAATCAGAAAGCAGCTCTGATGCAGAGCCATTTTCATGCGTCAGACCAGATAAAGACCAAACAGTATACTTAAAAAAAAGAAGAAAAAATAAATACAACATGTACCCAACCGAAAAAGCTGGTATTTACTTAGACAAGCATTACTGTGCTTAGGAATTAAGGATCATGATTTCTAAAAATAAATAATCAGAAAGCAGCTCTGATGCAGAGCCATTTTCATGCAGAAGTGCAAAGCAAAGGCCAGCGCTCTCACACTAACACAATTACCTTTGGGCACAGCTAGCCAGAACACGAGCATACCTAACGCTTCTCAAAATATTATTTTAATAATAAGCATTTCTGGGCTCATTTCACCTCACTGTTCTCATCCATACAGAACTACAGACTCCATTTTAAGTTAAAGGTGCTACAATCCTAAGCAAAGAGACAGAACTTGCCAGTTTTTATGTTGAAACACGTACACAGCATCAGCTCTCCTGGCACGCTGTTACAGCTAAGACACTTGTGATCTTCATCCCCGTTTCTCCCCCCACCATTATTACATGAGACCCATCCACTGAGTAAGAGTCAAATTTCAAGAGTTTAGCATCTTAATGGTGCAGCCTCCCACTCTTCTCTGTTCTTAGCTTTTGATTATTTGAATTTTCCTGCGCACGGACAGGCTGCTCGCTTTGAAGCGCGCGATGCCTGCTCTGCAGACAGACCTTTGTTTTTAAGCAATGAAGCAACAGCACGCACCGCATTGCTGAGCCAGCAGCATTCTCTACCCTATTTTCCAGCATCGCACAGGGAGATCAGTTCTGATCCAGTTCATTGACGCCTGATTCTGTCTTAAAATAAATTGTAGACAAATCAAAGAGGAATGGATTTCCAAGGTTTTACTTAGTAGTTCATTTGCACACAGAAATAGCAGGCTTAAGCCCTCTGCAGGCTTCACGTAGCTGCACATAGTTGCAGATACTATGAATACTATACGAGGAAACAAAAAACTTACATACTTTGAAAGTTCAAATATATCGTTACCCTCTTCACCCTATCCACATGAGATCACCATCAAAAGCTCAAGTGTTTCCGAGACTATCAGTATAGAATCATAATCTCAGAAATTATATTTTTGGGCAAAGAAGTCACAATTAATAAGCATTTAGGTTAAGATCTTTTATGAGCAAAGATGTTTTAATGTGTCACATTTCAAGAGCATCAAACTTTCTTTACAAGAAAAGAAAAATCACTTCATAGATTAGGAGCTAGAGAGGTCCACAAGACTTTCTGCAAATTAAAAGTGCAGGAAATATATGCATAATCCTTCATACATAAAATATTTTGCATTAGCGTTGCAAACACAGTAAGTGTTAAGCAATATTTAGAGTTAAAAGTACCTGAAAAATAATCTCTCCTTGGAGAGAGAGATTAACCGAACATCCTCCCGGAGAGCTGTGCAAGTTCTCAACAAATGCTTTTTCTGTACAAGTGGTTTAAAAAACAAAATTAAAATCACACAGTAGGTTCTGGAATATTTAAAACAATGATCTGATAGAACAAACATTCAACAGTCACCTCAATTCCATGTTATTTTGTTACAAACAGTTATCATGGCCTAAGCCCTGCGCATTGGTGCTCGGATTCATGGCCTCATCCAGGCAACATGTGTCTTGAGATCAAACTTTAGCTCTTGACATTCTAACACTGACAGAATGAAATAGCTCCATGATTACAGGTGTGGCACAGCAGCCAGTGGCCCTTCCAAATCTCAGTTGGCAAGGGAAAAGTTACTTACTTTAAAAGTTTTTATACCAGTGAGTATACCTTGCAGTAAATACACTCTTGCATCTGGCTACCGCACGGATCAAGATCCACAATTTCCACGTGAAGTTCCTTGAGGAAGTAGATCCTATTACTAAACAATAGTTTTGTTCCAGCAGCATCCGATGATTAGACGGCTGAGCTTTACACACGTCACTGCGTGTAACTAAGCGACAGGAATCACATCCCTTGTGAGAACCCCTACTACTACCATGACAACACCAAAACACGCAGGCATTGCAGGCTCAAATCTGTCCGACACACATACAACACCTGTTCCCAGCGACAGAACAGCACGTTAAGCTTCCAGAAAGACCCTTCTATCTAACTCCAGTACGTCACACATGGGGTTTCCTGGCTTTTGCCAGTAAGGTTACTTGCATGGCCATGCACATAAACTTAATGAATAACGAATGCACTTTTGTGGAGAAAAAAAGACTAAAATTTACACACATACTAGATTGACACTTGCTCCTTTTCTAAGTATGCATATACACCCGCTTTGAGTGAATTAATTTAATAGAAACATTTTAATTTGCTCCCGAAACTCCTGACCAAACTGACATCTTCTTTGGTCCCACGCCCTAAAAACAACTTTCCATTCACCAAGCCAACAGACATTAGAACTATAAAGGTGCAGAAGTTTTCTAAAACATTGGCTTCCTTTGTGAAAAGGCTATTTCAAAGTAAGTGTAATCTGTAGTAAGTGCAATCTTCCTTTCTAGAAAGGCAGCTACTGCCACACCACAGTAGCCCAACAGGCTGGGCCCTTGCAGTGGAACTGAGTGTGGCTTAAATACTGTATTTAGGCCTTGACAAAGAAGTCACCAAACTACCATCGTGTCAGACAGTATGAAGAATCTGCCTAAATACAGCGGCAACCCAAGTTCAACATTCTTGTCAGTAAGAATAATGGAGTAAATTTATACTGACCAAGTGAGTTAATTCTGATAAAAATCGTGACTGGATTTACTGACTATACTTCACCAACTAAAATATCTGGCTATCCACAGATTCTGCTTTCAATTTCTCCTGTTGTTTTGGGGTTTTTTTGCCCTATAAGTAATCAGAAATTAAAAGCAACACAACAAATGTCTAAAAACTTTCAGAAATTCTTTAGTTGCTGCCCACTAGAATGTAGCTGGAATAACTGACATGGCTTGACATCGCTGAGGAACACTTCTGACAGGTAAAATAATGCTCATTATCTACAGGTATCCTATCCAGCAACTTTCTTCCTAGTCATCATTAATTGTGAAGTGTGCCATTGCAAGGTGAGCTATTTACAAATGTAAACTATGTAATTAAAGTTTTAAAATAAATAGACAATTTACATTAGGTAGCAACTTGACAACACGGTAATAGATCATCCAATTACATCTTTCGAACAAAGTGATCTGTGTACGCTGCTCAAATATTTTTTTATGAAGAAAGTCCCTGGCTCACAATCTATTCTGCAAGAACTTCCTTGCTTTTCTTCCTTTATGCTGAATAATTGTGTAAAAATTCTTTAAGTTTTGTTGGATAGTCTGTCATCACTCCAGTTGCTCCCAGATCAAACGCCCTCTTGTATTCCTGTTCTTCATTCAGTACCCAAATATACACCTGTAAGATAGGTGGGATAGAAAGAGAAATTATTACAGAAAATACTGAAATTTAAAAAATGTGACTTTTGACCTAAATTGTTCCATATCAGAGAGATGATGCCACACATGTTTAAAACAAATGATCACACTGTGATGCCACAGACTCCTGTGCAAGCATAACCAAATTCCTCCTCCCTACCCTCCAAAGCGTGCATTTTCTAGCGGTGACTCCAGTTCATTACCTGAGAGTTAAATATTTCCAAAAGTCAAAATAGGATTTTGTGAAAAGCCCAAAATAGGTAAGCACTTTAGACGATTTTGTAAGCTTAACTCTGAAGTGGGGAAAAAAGACAATAATCTTAAAGGGAATTAGAGAATCTTTTTCCAAGCATGCAATTCTTCCTTTGCAGCTATAGATCTTCAAACATAACAGCACAAGCTATTGCTCAGGAACCAAAAAGCAACTTACAACCCCAGCAACACAACAGAACAGGTGGAGGAGAATGTGAGCCTATCTTAAGGTCGTATCTGGCTGGTTCAAATTCTCTCTAGGTTAAAAGTGTATTTCCTTTAGCTTTGCCACACTGTACCTGAATGCCCCGAGCAGTGAGGTGGTCAAAAAGTGCTTTCCGCATCAGCAACCTGCAGAAAGGAGAAAAATAGCGTTTAAGAACTGAAAGGATATATAAAATTTTCAATGTCTGTTGATAAATCAATGCCTGTAATAAATTGTCCATGCAGCATTTTGATTCAATGTTTTCTACAAGAAAGGGATTAGAAACCTGATTACATAAAACTTTTAGTTCAAGTAACTCAAGACTGGTTAACAGAGATACCCAGAAATTTGCATTAGCTGTGAGTATTTGTATCAACTCTTCTGAGGATCAAACCCAGCAGGCTCCTCCCTCATCACACACGCACCCTGTGCCACGTCCAATGAATCAACTCCGCTTTCAGAAGAGATTTTATCCTTCACGTCAGAAGACAAAATTCTACTGGTCACTCAAGAAATCAAGCTAACAGGTGTCAGACAGAGAAGCAAGAGTCAGAAGACACTTACTGCAATCACATTCCACCTCTCAAAGCCTACGACTAAGCCTCCTCTGAAGCACAGACAGTCTTAAAATGCAAAGTGGTCCAAGCAAGCTGAACAGCAGCTCCTCTGACAACATTATGAAACAGTCACACTCAGCATCTACTTGCACACTGATTAACTGCACACGCTTAACGACAGAAACTAAATTGGAATAATGCCCACTGTTACTGCACCTCCGTACGTTTCAGCCTATGAAAAATAAAAGTGTACAGGAACACTTATATAAGATTTGAGTATGATTTATGTTGCACTGACAATAAAGCTAGAAGAAACTGAAAAAAAATTATAACCTAACAAGTAGCTATAGCAATAGTTAGTCTTGATTGCTTGAGCCAAATATCAATATATAGGCAAAACATAAATAAAAATTTAATGAGATTAAAACCTTACGTGTCAGCTAGCCAGATGATAAATTTCTGGCTTCTTGTCATCTTATGCGGTTCTTTAAGCCTGTTAAGGAAGAGTGGGGGAAAAAAAAAATTACTAGAGCACAGATTAAATTATTATTTGAAATGTTCCTGCAAAAGGAACATGAAGAATTATCTTGCAAATTCTCAAATTAGAGCAGTAATTTCACCAATACAGTGACTTAGAATTGGGTTACACAAGAGAAATGTGCTACATATGAGAAGCAGCAGAGATGGGTTTCAGCAGCATTTTGAGTAAAGTATGAGAAACAAGAGAAGCACGTGAAATCTCATATCCAGTCTATTACTGACTTGCCTCTTTGCCTTGATCAGACTTACTTGTTCTCAAGAGAGAGGGAGAGAAAAGTAAAAGAATTACTTATTTGTACAGTGCTGCTACACGCTGCTAACTAGATGGTGTGAGCACAAGCTGCGTTGCAAAGGCAGCTGCAGAAAGGCCGTAGTTACAGGAGACACGGATCTCCTCAGTTGGTACTGTTTACTCTCTCAGTGCAGCACCCAGCAACGGACTCCAACTCACTTGAGGATGATTGAAGGCATGGGAATTTCGAAGAATTCCTCCTTGAAAGGGATGAACGGCAGCAGACCAGTGTAGAACAGGCCAAGAAGCAGGAGGACACGTTGCAAACAGAAGATGATGGGAATGTCAGCATTCTGCAGGGACGAGGAAAGAAAGATTCTAAATTATCTCGGTAGGCTCTTGTAATTAAATGTACTCATCAACGCATGTTTAAAGTCTAGCACTTCCACCTAAAGATTAAGCTGCCAACTGTTTATGATACGCATGACACAGTAACAAGTAGGCAAGGAGAAAGAAGCTTCTTACCTCCTTAAGACACTTTGATACAATCTCGTAATTGACATTCCCCCACACTGTCAAATGTTCTCGCTTATATTCACTGACCAGCTCTGAAACCTGCAATATAGAAAAGCAGAATCCTGGCAGGTATTCACTGAAAATTATGTGCAGAATTATTTATCTGAAACTCTACTTGGTACTTTTCAACTACACACAACAGATAGTTCTTCTATAGACTCTCCCATCTTAAGATGATTGTGCTGCTTTGTCTGGGAAGAAACAGGTGTTCAGGTCAACTGATAAACAGAAAGACCATTAGACCTATGAAAAAAACTCTAAAGAATTTTAGAAAACTAGATGGCAAAACAGTACCCGATGCAAAGCACATTTCCTTTCCTGTCACGAACGTTTAGCTTTAGGCTGACACCATGTTTGTATGTGCTCTGGTAGGCAACAGTCCGTAAGCCAACCCTTCGCATGAAGTACAAACCAAACATGTCTCCAGCAGCGTAGCACCACTGTCAGGGCACGGTAAAGGGTCAGCAAAGAGCTGTTTGCTGAGTATCTTGCACAAGATGACTTCTCTGTCTTCTGCATTACCTCATACATGGAGCAAGATCTAACACATGAAGGATTAAGCAGTCCAGGAACACAGATTTTAGTACCACAGCCTGCTAGCAACTCCAAAAAACACCTCTTTTCGTAATTTCAAGGTCACCACATGAGTTCAGTCTCAGTTCAGTGCAGGTGTTCACGTACCTTTTTGATCAACACGTTGTTGTTCACTTTGATGTCAATGTTGACAGGAGTTTGTGGAAACGCCTCAAACACCTCCTTCAGGAGTGGAATACGGTTGTCTTTTCCCTCGCAGTGACATTCTGGGGAAACAAGAACACTGACACTACTGAGCCCATTTTTAATATGCCACAGGTAAAAGCTGAGATGTCAGAGCACTTGTTATCTTACAATTAGAAATAATATCTAGTACCTAGAATTAGCAAATTTTAACTGACAAAAAAAAGCTCGCTTCTGTAATGAAAATACTCTAAACATACAGAACTTTTAGTTAAAAACTTCATAAAATCAGACACTATTTAGCAATAGTAGGAGTGCAGTTATCATTAACATCCCAAAACAGCAAAGGTTCGGTTACCACATACCAAACACAATGAGAACAATTTTTCCTTCTAGGAAAATTTACTGAAGAAGCATAATGAGTAAAAGTAACAGAAGGCAAACCCCCCAGATGTATTGTCTGAAACTGCTTGTGGCTCTGTGCAGCTAACTGAAGGCTCTCACCATCGCTTCGTACTATTGTACATAAACAGAAGATATATACGTGTGTATATATTTATATATCACGGATCTCATCTCGGTGCATTTTAAGTATTTTTCCATTTTGAACGAAAAAGTTTAGCACGATGTTTGCTCACTGGGCAATTCAAATAACGAAAAGGCCACACACAATAGTCACAAAGCCCTTCAAGCAAAGACATCTGATACCATCTCCAGTAGCTTTTTCTAGGTGGAAATGCTTTCAGTTTTAGCCTGTATGCTTTATTCAAATTAGAGTCCCATGAATCACAGTTTTCACAAGAAAACAGGTCAATTTTTTTCCAGCAGCAATCTCTTCCTCTCTTGCAGCAAGTCTGATACAGAACTTTAACTCATATATGCAGTAACCACCACTCTTTTCATTCACTGTTCTAAAACTGTCTATGTTATCTGACATCTTGTAGTATTTCAAGCCCAGAGCACACCAGCACAATGGCATCCGAGTTGTAAAGAAACTCTCTTCTGCCTTCTTTTCATTTTTCAGAACAACAAATTTTCAATCAGCACTCTCTGAAGAGTTCACAAGCGAACTGGAAAGCAGTTGTAAGAAGAAGACAAGGACATAATTGAAACGTAAAATATCTTTCTCCAAGTAAACATCTCAAACTTAGTCACTGCCAACTGGTGTGAAAAAAATACTTTGGTTTCTAAAGCTAGGATTATTTTTTTCCTTTTAAAGCTTCTCTTATCAAGACAGTGCTAGAAGCAAATTCACTTTTCTGCTCCCTTTGTCAAAATAAGAAATTGCCTCACTGTGATAACGGAAAATTAGTTACCACTACTGTAAATTGAAACGGCAAGAGACAAAAACTTACCCTTCTGAAATGTGACATCCAATCTGCAGAGATATGGTGGAAGTTCCTTAAAAATAAAGGGAAGTGGAACACTAATTCAAAGGCAGGGATATAGCCACAACTTTTCTCGAAAAAGACAGAACAAAATTATAATTCATCAACCATGTTACTTACCTTTAAAGATAAAAATAATATATTTTTTAAATCTTCTTGTGCAAAAAGTGATTTAGAATCAGTTAGTTCTTATTTGAACTGTCCAGCAAACTTAGGCTTGTGTTACCTCTAGCAGAATAAGGTAAAATGTTTTCAGACATCTGTCTGAAATTCTGAGAATTCTGCTACAATACCAGATGGAAAGACAGTTTATGAAACAGGCTTTTAAAACTGTCAATGCAGGTAGGATTCATCTACCAGTTTTCCCACTAAAAAGCCGGTCATACAAGAAGCAGCTTGTTGACTAAGTTTCCTTTGTCATCAGTATGGCAAAACAGGCCCACCTCCACAGAGCCTTCAGCCAGCCTGCTGCTGGGGGCAGCTGATCACCCTCTGGAAACGTGCCCGGTTTTCTCCCTTGACACCACAACGAGGCTGGTTAACTTTTCTCAGTCAGACAAGAGAAATCCTCTCCTTCGATTCTGGGTACCAGCCGTACACACATGCACACAAGCTCTCTGCCCACCCCAGCCACTCTACAAACGCCTCTTTAAACACCCTCTAGCACTGACATTTTCCCTTCAACTTACAGAGTACTTGAGGTCGGATATGTTGACATCGACGCCTGTTGATCTCTTCAGGTTCTCATCATGGGACACAACCACTTGCTCATCTTTTGTCAGGTGACAATCTAGCTCCAGCATGTCTGTCCCTATGTTAACCGCGCTGGAAGCAAAGAAGCCTGCCTTGAAACACACGTATATTTTGTACGGCTGCAAACCTAACACATACTTATTATTCAATTACACTAATCCCACCGGAAGCGCTTTATATGCTTTATGATGCAATGAATTCTCACCATCTTGCTGCAAAGCAAGAAGCAAATAACTCTGCTGCAGTAGGGAAGCTGATGCAAGAAAAAAAAACAACGCATTATGAATCAGAATTTGAACTCGGGAACTTTGCCTCCTTCTTCCACAGGAATCAGGCAGCACATCTGTCAAGTGCAACCTGCCACCTCAGTACTGGGAATCAGAATTCGGAGTGTGATGTTCACCAGTATCTGCACATTTACCACAGGAAGAAGTGAGTTCTTTTTAAAAATTAATCAACTTCGTGGTATGAGTAACAGGGATGTAAAAGCCTTTTTTTTCCACTTGTTCAAGTTAGTCAGGAATGGATGGATCAGGAAATTCTCAATGGGGCTTTTAGGCTTTTGGCTAGCAAAATAACCTTTTTAAAATTTAGTTATTTTAATGAAAAAGTTGAAATTTAAATTTTAAAAAATAAACCACTCAAATACCCAGCCATGTTTTCCAAAGAAAAACAGCAATTCCTGTTCCAATCTGCTGCTTTGAAAACTTCTGACCCAATTCCAAACCCAGCCTCGATCAAAGCTTAGCTCATAGGAAGAGAAGTAAAGAAAGCTGAAAATAGTAATAATACTGAAGAAAAAGAAGTACAAGAAACCTCACTGCAGAACAGAAAAAGCTTTACTCCAGCGAGAATCGAATTGCCTGTTTCACTAGAGAAGACACTCAGAAGGTGTCACTCCAGCAGACGGCTAAAAGCCTCAGCCTGAAGTCTGAACACTTCCGAACACCAGCCTGTTCCTTCCATCCAGCTGTGAACAAACCTTGAACATCTGTAGTGCAGCCAACCCAGGACTTCAAGCTCTGCGACTTCAGTACCAGCCTTTTCCGTAAGAAAAGGACTCCAAGTTCAGACACGCCATAAACATTCACAAAGGCAATAACAACACAGAACGGAACATATTCCCCTCAGTCTTTAACACAATTTCTCGTCCACTTGGGATAATGATCAAGAAGGTCGTTAAATTAAAACCAATTTGTTAACTGTTTTCCAGTGCCACTAATTAAGAATTAGGAGAGGAACAAAATCCTATTACACGTGAAAGACACGCAGCCTGTTCTGCATAATTTTTCCTCCTGAGGAAAAGCATCTCCAAACACGCTGCAGGAGATTTGCCAAATTTGTAGACGTTCCCATCTAGTACCAAGTATTATCATTTAACCAGGAAAATTTATTAGAAATATTACTGCTTAAGAAATTCAGGACTGATGGTGCACTGAAAAAGGAGAACAACTTTCCTTGTTAACAAATTTGAGAATTTGCCAGGCTCTTCCTAGCAGCTTGCTGCTAAATAAGCTTCCTTAAAGTGCTGAGGTTTTTTCAGCTGAAGATCAGTTTGTTCTGCAGTTCTGCAATAACACAGCAAATCTACACTGCTCCAGAGAAGGCTCCAGATGCTCTCCAGATTCAGAAGAACATGCTGGATTCAGATCCAACTGTTCCAGAACTCAAATTGTGAAGCAGGCTCACGTTTGCAATTTCAGATGATGGAGCTTCAAGCCTGTGTTTAACTCCAACTGCTTTCTAGTAAAAGGACCTACCAAGAAATACAGAAGCGGCACCTCATCTTGGAAACTAAATTCCATCAGGCAAAGCCTAAAGTAGCACAATGTAGAGAGTTTATAAATACTAATTTGACTAAGTACTTTTATTGTTGTAACTACGGTGTTTAAAGCTTCCTCTCTAAGCCAAGATGTTCATTAAAAAAAAAACCAAAACAAACCACACACAACAGGAGACATGAGAGGAAAATATCTCAAGAGTTTACTTAGCAGCTTCCTGTCTCAACAGTGCTCAAGTACGTGGCTGTATTAGGGACAACTTCACTGGTAATTAAACTCTTATGACAACTTTTATACCAGATCCCCAAGTACTTTAAGACAGCACAAGTCTCCCTCTCAGCTTAAAATCAATGATTTTAAAATCTAAAGCCACCACAGAAGCATTTAAATACAGTATAACATGATTACAGTGCCCAAAAATCTATTAGGTATTTTACCATGGAAGAGCAAAAAAAATGCTGTCTTTGGTATAAAAAGCTTATAATCTCTCTCCAGAATATTTGTAAATTAAACTAGAATAGAACTTGAAATTGCCGGTAAGGCCTCCTCTCCCCCATATACTTTGTTTATTAGAATAATTTCTTAATTTTTATGCAACAGTATCAAATATTCTCCAATAACCATCACAAGTGTTAATAGCACAAATGAAACGATTTCTTTGTCGCTACCTAGGTTACTGGCAAACACAAGGGGGTAGGTCTTACCCTGCAGACCAAAACCCTTTTTGATTCAGCTACATCGGCAGTCAAACACCTACAGAACGAGCTCTTGCAGGCACTCCCTGTTTGGCTCCACGCAAAACCTGACGGGTTATAAATTGATTAGCTCATACCAGCTGTCTGAACCTATCCAGATAATTTTTCACCATGCAGATCACCAATTTTCTACCCAATTCCTTTTGCTGGCTTACCAACAGAGATGAGAACGAGCAGATTGGAAGGACAAAGCCTTCGCCCCTTTACAGAGGCAGCCAGAGGCTTTCTACTGCCTAGTGCAAAGGAATTGCTCCAACTCTGCCTTCTGCCTTTTTTATTCAACAAGACAATGTCACACCCAGCAACTGAACTTTGCTGTTGGCAACTGTGATGAGTTCAAGAAGAGCAGACCTCAACATACTTGTTAAACTATAGTTGTCGGAAAAGAATCAGATAAATGTCTGTAGTATCACAAAATATGACTTGCCTCCTAGTACAGTCTTTACATACAGTTTACTTCTGGGAATGAAACAAAAACAGGTTATGGTGCAACTTCCTGTGCAACAGCTCTACATCTAAAACCAGTATGATGCCAAACGAAAATTAAGAAATGGTTAAAAAAAAAAAAAAGAAAAAGAAACACTTTCCACAGTGTGGTAGCGGACTTGAAAAAAAGTCAGGCCAGCAGTAAAAAAAAAGAAAAAAAAAAAAAGCACAAAACTATGCTAAGCTTCCATGGAGATAGAAAATCCTGCAGTACTTTCAATAGCACTGTTTGGTTGGGAAAGCTGGCACTCCTCAGTCTGCAAGGAAATCTGCAAACTGATGAGGCTAATTAGCACAACGCAAATTAAAAAAAAACCACGCAACAAACACCCCCCCAAAAAAACCACAACCTAAACAAAACAAAGAGAAGCCTACATAATTTGGTCACTTCTCACTGGCAGCTGGAGTTTCAGACATGCTTCTTTTTCAAATGCCTTTGAGAACCTTGTTAGAATTCACCACTTAAATGCTGGAGGCTTAAAAGGCTTTCCAGTGCTAACTCCATTCTAAAGCCCTAGATAAGAGGCTTTCACACATTGTGCCAACGAAGTATGTGTATGAAGGGAAAAAACACAACACAAATATTTTTAAGAGCTTTACAAATGGTATATTAACCACTTAGTTAACATTAGGATTGCAGTCACAATAATTCTAAGAGACAAATTATCAGCCTTCTGTACAGAGGAGGCAACTGAATACCACAAAACCACGGATTATCTGGGAGAATTGCTTACGGCCATCGTAGCCATCAACAGCTTCACAATTCCTAAAAAGCAGCCTTATGTGCTATTCAGCATATCGGTTTGGTCCGATACAGTTTTGAGAAACATCAATGAAATAGTTTTGAGAAACATCAGTGAAATAGTTTTGAGAAACATCAATGCGTGTAGAAAAAAACGTGGCGTATCAGTTATGAAAAACAGCTTGTAACGATAAGTAAATTAACAGTAGTAACTGGCATTAAAGATGGAACAGGTATTATTTCATGTTTTATTAGCTAGCACGGGAGGCATCAGGCCTCAGTTTTATTTCCAGTCACCAGTCCAGCACTGGGTACAAATTGTTGTTTGTGGCCTCCCAACTCCTTCTTGCTTAAACGGGAGTAACATTTAGCAATCCAAAGGAGAGATGACTTTTAGAAATAGGACACTGTACCCCAAACAACTGATGGAAGTCCTATCTTTCTTGACTGCTTCACTCACTAAAGACAATGAGACCACCACTAATCTTGGCATCATTGATTCCACTTGTACTCACTGGTGAAAGGCTGCCATCGTGTTTTCCAGATTCTCTCCAGCACCTACAAAAATAACAAAAAAATTTAAAAAGGGATTAAAAAGTTCACATATTTTGAGGAAGTATGTGGAGGAATGAGTATGAAGCTAGAGTCAGAAATCCCTGTTGCTGCTAACCTTCTGGGGAGACCCTGGAGACTGGACTTTCTCAAGGTAAAACAAATTAAAACAAAAAACAAACAAACAAAAAATCCCAAACCCAGACCATTATCTTGGATTTGTGTAACACTTTGAATACACAAACCAAAGTGTTTATTTTACCAGAGACTGGGTGCCCATTTTTTGCTTAATAGTGTTGTATTTGGCTATGACAATACACCCCACAGGCACAGAAACAGTATATACAAAAAGTCTATTCCAGAGTTAGTAGGAGGAGTAATAAGAGAAAAGGTAACTAGAGGAAAAAAATAAAAAACCCACAACACCAAAACCAAGAAAACAAGTGCTTACAACTCTCTAAAGCTGATATTCCCTAAACACATAACTCAGCTGATGCTCAAACAGGCAACAATCTCTTTTTTCAGTGCAAGGAAACTTCTTGGAACAGCACAAATAAAGGTTTATGCTGCTGGCAAAGGGAGCTATGATACACAATGAAACACACACCAACTCCAGTTAAGAAGTGAAAGGACAAGCAAATTTAATTCTCTCTCAAGCAGGAGAAACTTTGCAACTCTTAAGGCATCATTCTCTACACAAAAATCTTTGAAATCCAGCCTGGTTAGGAACTGCGAAAGGCTGTGCATTCTCCCTCCCTCAGAAAATAGGCAATACCATATACTGAAAACCAAACCAGCTTCAGGGAGATACATGTACTGATGAGGATATCTATCCAAATTTTAACTACTCTTTTACAGTGATGAACGACAGACTTTGCAAACAACAATTATAAAAGCTCCAATTAAGGCCTTGCCTATTAACAAGGCCTCACCAGCACATACTTACCCAAGCCTGTGTTTAGTCACTTCACGAATGCAATGCAACACTGTGCACGCGCAATGAGCAGTTAAAAATTATTGTTATCGGGTTAGCTTGCATTGGTAACTTTAGAAAATTAAAGACTTAACAGAATCATAACGACAAAAATCTGCTTTTTTTAACATAAGCTTCTGTGATTAAACATTCTCCTATATTCCATGGAATTCAAGTGCAGAACTAGGAATGGGCTAAGCGGCAAAAGCAACCGAGGGACAGAGGAAAGCATGATTGCCTAACGGGTGAGGAAATAAAACCTGCACAGGACCTGTTATAAATTAACTGCAATAATAATTGAGGTTTTAGATAACTTATCAGACTGTGACAATACAGCCCACACATCCTCAATAGTAAGGAAGGGGGAAGCGGGGAGAAACTGAGACAATCTTCAATTTGTGAACAAAACAACAGCATCCTAACATTCCAGGGCAGAACTTCTCCAAAGTAAAACTTTGATCAAACAAGTCCTATGTCAGGTAGGGAGGGCGTGGTGAGTCAAACCAGTTGGTAACAAAACGGCTGATTTCAGGGAAAGGAGGTAAAAAGCTGAGAGATCAGCT